GCGGCCGCTCGCATTTGTTTCCCGTTTCCGCCCCTTGGACCTCGTCGAGCAACAGGTATACACGCGGGCGAACGCGCTCGCGAGTGCCCCGACTGTCATCGCCCGCGTGGCGTCTTAAGCGGGCGACAGGTAGGTCTCTCGGACAGTGCGCGGGGCGGGCAGGCCCCCACGCTCTTTTGTTCCAGCTGCGCGCTGTCCGCGGCGTGCGTGCGTGCGTGCGTTGGGTTGGTTCTTTCGATGCGTGATCGTCGTGATGTTGCGTGTTTGCTTAGTCCGGTGTGATTCAATTTTAGTGGACGCTTGGAATCTTAGATGAGAGACATTCACGTTCACGGCACGTCAAACGGTTTTATATCAAGATCTCATGTCTTAACGTGTCAGCTCTTACGAAATATTTCGTGATACTTTGTTGACACGTGTATAACTTTGTAAGAAATCATGTTTACTTTTTGTGAAAATGAAAAACACGTGAAGATGTTTTTAGAGATAACATGAGTCCGAATGAAGGAAATCCTTTAGTTTGGTTATTCTTTACTGTAAAAAAACTCAAAATGCTAATAGGATATAATCACAAATACAATTTGAAAAATATAGTACCTTTAAAACTATGATTACTAGTAATTTTCTTGCTTTTTATTGTAGTTTACATTTCCACATAAGAACTAGTGGATTATCTTGTCAGAATTATCTAAAGGAAATGCTACGTGTTACGAGGAACACTATTTATTCTTGATCCTGAATTAAGATGCTTCACAGTGGTGCCATTCTGAGACTGCCCGTACAACTGGTTCGTACTCTCAAGCATCGCGTACCACTATTAAGACGTATCGTCTCGCGAAATTCCACGAACACGCTCGCAGCCCCCCGGGGTTCAATCGAACACAGCGCGAGACGTACTTATTTACTCCTACACACAACACGTGACAATGTTCTTTCTCATATTGTCTCTCCGTACACCGGAATAAGCAGATATTACATGACCATCTCAGCCACGAGTTGACTCCGAGTTTCATAAAACCTCCCAGCAGAATGTTCTATCAGAAATACATTTCCATTAATGGTGTTTTTTTTTATACGGAGAAGGCGGCAATAAAAGCGTGAGGCAGAAGCCGCAAGAAGCAGGGGGCGGCGCAACCTGAAGTTCAATAGAACGAGCGGGATCGGCTCCGTCGGTACATCAAAGCAAATTCGCAGTCGGAACAGGTGGCAGGTGGTTAAGGCGGATACCTGCGACCTAAGCCGTCGTAAACCTGCGGTGCCGGGGAGCGTCTCGCTGCCGGCCGCCTCCAGTGCGGAACCCGGCTTAAGAAGTTTTCACAACAACCATTACTTCCGCCACGACGGCAATTGGGGCGCTGCGGATGGACTTGCGATGGATCTGCCGACGAGAGCAGTTTTACGTCGGCGGGAAGGTCAGCCCTACCTCAATAATTGTCTGCCAAAAAAGCCTTTCGCGCGCACGCGAGGACATAAGTCGGATGCTAGCTCAAACGATTGTCAATCCGTTCATACTGTCGGAGTGATGGTGACATAATAGATTAATTTGATAATATTAATTGATAATAATAACGATTACATAATAACAATAATAATAATAATAATAATAATAATAATAATAATGTTTTTATTTCAGGCGAGGCTCAGGCCGTAAGACCTGCCCTTCCGCCTAACACAAAACGGTAGAAAAGGCGAAATACCTAATCAAAAACACGATCCGCAAGTTAAATATTCCGAAATGCAAATTTTCATTTTTTACAAGTAGAATTGACAGAATATGTAAATAATATTTTCAATTTTCACTTCAATGTAAGTTGTATGATGTGCTTGCGTGATTAACTGATAACACAAATTTGAGCATGACAAACATCGTTCAGTGCCAACACACACTGCAATGCTGCTTAAAAGCGACTACATTCTTCATACATGACTGGCATAGCACGACTGGCAAAGCACGCGAGATTGGATCCACTCAAAACTAACTAAAGAGCTGTCTGCTTCCACGTGAAGAGGAAGGTTTTCAATATTATAGGACAGCCTTGCGATCACAAAGGATATTAACTGAATGCTAAAGATCGGGTAATGCCAACCTTAAATGAATTAAGTAGATATTGATTTACGGCAGAAAACGAGCTTTTCAATGAATTATAACTGAAAATATGAAGAAAAAAATAGAAATTAATGCTGAGATATTTTAATACCAAAGTTATGCTACTGCATTCCCCAACCAGTTGTATTTGAAATAAGAAGCCAAAATGAAGATATACGACATAGTTACATAATTACACAAATTTAATGCTGTAGAAAGAACAATTCATTCAGAAAGAAATATTTAAATTACGGCAGTATCTTCAAGTTGACACGATCATCCATAAGTTTAGGATTTTTAAATGTCAATAACTAAAACCACCTTGTTTATACGTGTCGTTCTTCTACGAGAACCCCACTTTACTGATATGAAGACTGGATTACATCACAAAAAAGTGAGAAGCTTTTAATAACAGGTTTCCCAATCAGATGGTACTCATATAGTCCCTAGAATGCTGAAACGATTCAGGTAAATGATAGTAGCTAGTGGAGAAAATATGAAATGTTATATTAAAGTAACGGAGTGGAGGCAGAAAAAGTTTGGGAAATGTTTTGTGTATCATAAATGTGAAGGAACTAGTGTATATCCGAAAATTTCACACTATATTAAATTCGCACGAAGCGATTATTAAAAAAATTGGGTAATTAAATTACTTTCTCGAAAAAAGAAGATAACATACTTGAAATCCTGAGTGTTAAGAAGATATTGGAAAATACGGACATTATGCACTGTACTGACCTATCCACTCCATCACAAAACATGGAAAATATTTTGTACGCAATTAGAATTCATACAGGAGGGACACCCAATGTTTTTAACTGTTAAAAAACTGCTAATGTTTACGACCTCTTCCGGAATTACGGAGACAGTGAGTTTTAAAAGTGGCCTAACTGCAAGTTTCGACTTTTAAAGAAGGACCTCCATCAGATATATCGATTCAAATTATTTTAGAAGCCAGCGAAACAAAAGACTCGCGAAACATTCAGTACTGCTTTTGTTAATAACATGAATGATAAATATAGACGTAGAAAATGAATAAACGTAGATGAAATAATTCTGAAGGGAATTCAGATAGGGTTCACTGTAATTAAAACCCAATGTAAGTATATAATATGTTTACAAGTAAAAGTTAGTAGTGAATCTTATGTTATATTATGATGAAAGTTATAACGGTATTGTGAATATAAACATAATAAAGCTAAATATGTATGTATATATTTATGAAATGAATTGAAGCATAACTGCATCTAAGTGTTGCTTAGGTTGGTATAAATATATGAATAGGTAAACAGAAATAATCTTTCGCAATAAAAATCAATAATACATTTTTATTGCGGAAAATAATTGGTTTTTATCTATCAATATGGATCAATATGGAAGTCTAGAGTAGTGAATTTAAAACTATAAATATTTTAGTAGTAGTACTACTATTAATATAAGTAGAAGACTGAAGAACACAAAGGAGAAAAGAGACTAAATATTCCACATTTGTGGATTCGAGGAACTGCAAAGTCCCGTCAGGAGGCGTTTTGCGGCACTCACCCTCCGCAGGTCCAGGGTGAAGGTGACGCGCTCGAAGTGCTCTCCCTCGGCGAGCGAGGGGCTCTGCCACAGGGCGGGCGGCCCGCCGCCCGCCTGAGCCGAGCACCGCCTCGGGCGGGGTGGGGCGCCGCGCCGGCGCCCCGGCGCGGTCGCGACACACGTCGCATTGCTCCGCCGCCTCCGTCGCCGCCCGCGCCCCGCCCCGCCCCCGCCGAGCCCCGCCGGGCGGCAGAAGCGCTGGGGGCCGTCCGCGCCGCACGTGGCGTTGGCCCACGCGGTCGCACGCGCCGACACCTCCTCCACGGGCGGCAGCAGCGGCGCCGCGGGCCCCGCGCTCGCCCCGCCCGGACCTGCAACAGCAACACACCGGGCGTTACACCAACTCACACAAACACACGCACGCACGCACACACACACACACACACACACACCACCACCACCACCCCTTCACGGCGCTGGGACTCCAGACATGCAAAGACACGACGCGTGAGATTAGGGTAGCAGCTTTAGAAATAGTTCACCTTCCACCACTTGTCTAGAGCGATGGGTCGATTGATTGATTGGTTGATTGATTGATTGGTTGATTGATTGATTAGGGAGATGCCGGGAGCGCCAGCTGCTTAGTCCCGTAAGTGCAGTGCAGATGTTTTTCTCGAGAGATATTTCGGAGATTCCCCTCTGGATGGCGAGATCAGACCCCGACTTACCAGTCGGCATGCGGGATTTTTCCCCAACCAGGTATCTCCCACTAGCTGGGCCCCGCCAGGATAAGCTCTAAGCTTTTGAGTAAACTCCCTTCATATGTGGTAGTGTAGTGTATGTAAGTGTAAGTGTGTGTCCGTATGAGACGTAAGAATGAGGAAGGCAAGATTGCGAGCGATCCGTGGTCCGTTGAATAGGGCGCTTTTCCGGCATTCACCTGATGTTGATGAGAGTAAGCACGAAAAACTATCGATCAGAGCAGCTGACCGCAGCTCTTCCACACAACGGCTAAATCTGGCTTTCGGAGAGGAGCGAGCAACTGCTCGCCGAATCCTGAGTAGTGTGTATGAGTTTATGTAATGAAATGAGATGTATATAATGAAACAAAAATGAGTTGTGCGTGAATGAAAAAAAATACTAAGGAAAAAACAGCAATATTACTTAGAATTAAGGGAAACTTTTTTGTTCAAGTTAGATAGCCCAAAGTGCTTACCTATTAGCTGTACAATTAGATGAAGTTAAAATTAAGTTACTTTTAGATAGTTAATAAGAATATCTTCCCCTCTTTGCTGCTTAAGCCGCAAGGCAGGAGCATAATGTGATCTAATTCATGTAAATAAATTCCCGCCACCTCACAACACTGATATACAATTTGAACCCAATGAATTTGGGTTTAAATGGAAATTCCAATTCCAATATAAACAAGATTTTGTATCATTAAAGATGAACAGTAAATAAAAGTGAGAAATCAAAAACATCGTCAAACGAGTGTACCAACTGTACGATGTGTTTATGATTTGTGAACCAAATACTGTTCAATTTCCATTATACTAATAAAAGGGTTATTCACTAATCCCACTCAACTAGATTGGTAGAGAGGATACTTAGTAGAAGATAGAACACAAGATGAGTCTTATGCAAGGAGATTCGCTTGCTATTTAAAGAAATTCACCTCGAGTGACAAGGGCAAACGGAAAGTTGGTAAGAAAGGAAACAAGTGCTTGCGTAATTGTGTGTACTTGGTCTCCTTCTCTACACATTAGTGTTTTTGTAAGGAGTCAAATTAACTTTCAAGCACTGTTATTTTCAAAGAAGACATTTAAACATCTAAAAAAGACTTCATGGTACTGTAGTCATTTACTACTAAGTACTGTAAGAACTCCGCCATCCTGGACGATGTACTTAACAGGCATCGTTATAGAACTGATGTGTACAACAAAGAAGACTGCTTATTAAACAAAAACTAACAGAAAAATATTAATTTCTTAGGTTTGCAGACTTTAAATTCACGTTATATCCAAAACAATTATAGTAGATAAAAACAACACACACTCATACATTTTTTGGTGTGAAACGTCTCAAAAGCACGGAAGCTCATAACTCAGAGTTTTTGAACCTTAATTGAAGAATACCACAGCCACGACCTACATTGCTGATATCACGGCATCACCAACCTCTTCTGACACTTTTCATAAACATAAATACACAACTTCCTCGCGTAATGAAGTCGCAGGGAAGACAGGCATACAGCCGGGAATGGCCCGACCAACTTCAGACGTACTCTGTTTAATCGCTCTATAAACACACTTCAAGGAGACAACTGGGCGTCGCGAGGCTTATATGACGCTTCTCGAGTTTCCGCGTGTGTGTGCTTCCTTCCTTCGCCTCCCTTTCCACTGCAAGCCACGGCGTTCTCCCCGCCTGTTCTCCAGTCTAATTCCCGTCTTAGTCTCCCTCGTTGTCCTCGCCGATGCCACTGCTACCGCCGTCGCCGGCGTACTTGCCCGCGCCCTTGCCTATCCCCTTATCCGTGCCCTCGCCCGCGACCTCGCCCATGACCTACCCTTGCCCTCATCTTCATCACCGCTTTTGGGCCTGCCTGCAACTCTCCCTCTACTTTCAGCGATGTTCCCGTCACAGCCACAGAAT